CCCCCTCCCCGCCCCTCTTTCGGATCCACCGGACCGTCGGAGACGTCGCGACGAGGGAGAAGAGACGTACCTCGCGCGCGACCGACGACAGAGAGGTAGTGCCGCCGCGTCGACGTATTGTTGTCCCGGCTGTGCTTCGGTTACGTGCGTGTGGTGCGTGCATAGTGTGTGTGTGTGTGTGTGTACGCGGGAGCAGCCTCCTGCGACCGGCGCGAACGCAACCCAAGCGGCGTGTTAACATACACCTCCTCGCATCTCGTGATCGCTGCTACTCCGCTCGGACGGCAGCATAACCTCGGAAGCGTCGTGACGATCGAGCGCGGCGCGCGCCGTCGTCGTCATCGACACCCCGCCGCCGACAGGTTACACCGTTCTCTCTTCCATCGTGAACGAGCGAGAGAGGCGGTGGCGCACGATCAGAGGGAGGAAGAGGGCGAGGGAGAGCGCAACACGGGGCTCTCTCGCAGTCGCCGGGCGAGCGAAGCGCCCGGAGCTTACAGTGTGTGTGATAGTTATGGTTTCGCGGGTAGCGGTGGCCCTCGGTGATAGAGACAGGCGTGAAGTGTGCTCGTGAGTGCCGCGCTCGGAGGGAGATATACACGGGCTGGCCGCGCGAGAGGAGGAGCAGACGTCGTCGTCGCTGCCGTCGTCAGTATTGCCCCCGTCGCTGGCGAAAAATTATCGAGAATAAACGAGGAGCTGCAGGAAGGAGGAGGAGAGAAACACGAGGAGAAGAAAAGGCGAGCAAAAGTGTAGGCTCGTTTGACAGAGACGAGGGAAGAAGGATCGCCGGTCGCCGCGGCTGGCGGAGAGAGAGAGAGAGAAGGAAACGTCAGTCGGCCGAGGGAGAGCGGGCAGAGGACGCAGCGCGAGCGCGCCGCGCTATCGAGACGAGCGGAACGGCGGAATCGGGGGACGGCGAACGGCGGGAATCGCGGAACGGGAGCAGCCGTGCGCGAACCGCGGGACACGAGGCGTTTTTTGAACGGCGGCGGACTCGTGACGGCGGCAGCGGGATTGTAAACAACGACGACGCGGCTGCCGGTCGCACAGCAGCCACCCTCGGCAACTCACTGGCGGCGGAACGTCCGTCTCGTTCGCCTTCCCTTTCGATCACCGCGACCATTGGCACCACCACCACCACCACCACGACTCGAGAAGTCAACGGGCCCGGGCCGCTGGACGTGGAAGGGAAGAACGGTGAGGGCGAGTCGCGCGTTTCCTTCCCGTGGTGTGTCATGGGGTGTTTCGGCAGCCAGAGCAGCAAGGCCAGCCAGGATGACAGTAAAAATCAGAAGAGACGATCGGACGCCATTACTAGACAGCTACAGAAGGACAAACAGGTCTACCGGGCCACCCACAGGCTACTCTTGCTCGGTAAGTTCTAACGATGTAATCTCTCTCTTGTTGTTTTTTTTTGGATTTGGCGGAAAAGCGGGGAATACCTTCGTTCGGCCTGAAGGAGAAAAGGGGAGGCCGAATTCCTTATCTCGGCGAGTTGCAGACGCTCTCGGTTAACCTAACCTACGCGCGTGCTTGGGTCAGGTGGTGAAAATTGTAGTGAAATTTGGACCGGACGTAATCGATAGAATTGTCAGTGTCCTTTTGCGTCGAAGCCGACCAACTTTTCATCCTGCACAGGGTGCTGATTTTTCCATCGCGGTATACCGGAGGTACTGTTCGAATGTTCGCGCGCTACAAAGATAACTGCCCGATATTTTTCGCCTCTCGTTACGACGATCGCGTTAAATACAGGAGGACCTGGCGGTCGGCCTGATCGCCGATTTCGGACAAAGAAGTTGAGGACAAGCCGGTCGGCCGGCCGTTATCGTGATGTTCAGCGGCGCGTAATTCAATTTTATCGATTATCGTACGAGCACAGACACCCACGAATATCCAACGGCCGCCTTGTGTTTGTACCCTTTTTATCGCTTCCGATCCCTGTGTCTCTTTCATCGCTCTCCCCCCCCCCCNGGAAGAAACGATGTTGAATAAATTAACCAAGTCGAATCTTTAATAACAAATCAATTGTTTATTCTCGGTTTGTAGACTGGCGCACACAGTCTTCCTCAGTGAGAAATAAACGTTTCAACAAGATAATAAATTATAATCATGTGACATCTAGTGTGCGCTCAACTATTTAACGACGTCAATTTAACTGTGACATCGATCTTAAAGGATTTAGCCCGACCTTTCGAGCATCCTAGTCGCACCACTACGTTACTTCTTTAACCTGTCAATATGACAGACAAATTGACATTGTTAAATAGCTATCATGTCTGCAAACCCCGACGTTTGCTTTGCTAATAAAAGACAGATTTCGTCGCATAACTCACTCTCCATCTCTTTCTCTCACTCTGACATTCATAATGTCTATTTAATATTTGTAATACTGTAAATATTGTAATAGTGTAAATACTGAGCGTCTGATCTTGAAGTGTTTACTTTGGAGAATTTTTACATAGTATATAAAAACATGTACGCGCTATTTAATTTTTTTTATGCTATACTCAAAAGTACTGATATAAAAGTCTCTAGGACAGGAACGTTATCCATTCACGCAGATTTAAATACACTTTCGACATCTTTCTAATTGACCGATTGTACTCTTTTTTTTTTGCTCAGCGCATCTCTCTATTGATACTTACAATCTTCTTTACACTCCTCTGCATCATCGTAATTTTCGACATGTAACACTTTATACCTTCAAAGAGATCGTTGATATTATTTCAAGAGAAAAATTTCCCGCAGTAGTCTTCTTTCCTCGATCGGTTCACCCAGGTCTTTTTTTCCGATAGCGATACACGTGCGCAACATTGACACGGCGTGTGCCTACTTATTAGCGCGGTACTTAACCCGCTCCTATTCCCCGGCATCGCGCCTTCCTATTCTCTGGCGTTTATGTAGGTCGTCGCTCTAATTCGACGCGAATGCGTCGTCGTCCGCGAATACGCGGCGTGCCGCACCGTCGACGACGAAGCAACAGCTGTCGCTGTATTGTTTCCTCCTTGCGTGTCATTACAGCCGCGCGAAACACGCGGCCGAACGGTGTGTCGTCGCATACGCGACACCGTTCGTGGAAATTTTAGGGAAAATCGCCGGCGTGTGAAACATTGTATCGATTAGTAGAAATTTCAGACATCGAGGCGCGAGTCTCTTCACAGAAAAGTGTACAAGTTTCTGACGCGCGACAGTCCATGTTTTACATCGCGTTTTGTGTATCAACATGGACTGTTGCATTGTATTTCATTTTTATATGCGACATAACTGGCGCGACCTATAAAATTAAACGGCTAATTTTATGGATACATGTATTATAAATAGTGCGCTCTGATAGCAATATATATATCTCTCTCTTCGTATAATATTTATACGATTTTTCCTACCGATTTCATTGAAACCGCCTTTCCGAACGGTGAAACCGATTAATGTTGGAAATTGAAGGAGAGTTGCGGGAGATTAAACTTTCGGGACTTATCTTTCATTCGCTTAATTTACCAAGTAACTAGGTGGGTGTTCTTAGTCGGGAATTCCGGAGTTAAACGCCGAGAGTGTTTAACGTTGAGAAGTAAGACACGAGTGTTAAATGTTATGTAAAATGGACGGGAAGGCGATACGACGTTACTTCGCGCGTAAAGAAACCACGGAGGAGTAACGTCGACGTGATACTTCCAAATTACATTCAGTAGTTGCCGGCGAAAAGTTTCGAATTTCTAGAATCCCCGACAGAAACAAGAAGACGAGGAGTGAGGGACGGTCCCATCACAATGTGAAATGACGATTCTCGCACTTTGCTTCTCGCGCGATTTCGTTTCATCATGCGCCTATAATTTCGGCGATTTTCGGACGACGCGTCACGTCATCATGCACGCGTCGTCGCGCGTTATCGCCGGGCCGATCGATAGCTATATCCCGACCTGACGGAATCTCACTTTTCGCGGCGTTGTCGCGGAGTTGACGTTCTTACGATAAATCGCGCGAATCACTGGCCGTAACGGCGAAAGAGAGGGATTAACGGCGACGATTTTCGTCCTGTTTCAGGAGCGGGGGAGTCCGGCAAAAGTACCATTGTCAAACAGATGAGGATACTGCACGTCAATGGTTTCAGCGAAGCGTAAGTTTTATTTTTAACAGCGGGGGACGCGCCGATCGGTCGGTCCGCACCAATCCCGGCGGTGTGTCGTTAACCCATTAAAGGCCGTAATCGCTCCTTTGTTTCCCCCGGCTTTTCACCGTGCATCTCGCATTACAATTAAACATCGTGCCGAGCTGTTTGCAAAATACAAAGCCAACCCGTTCTCGGGATTGACGAATCTTCCGCTCGTCATTTCAAATCTCGAAAGGCCCGAGAGGCCCGTGAAATCACCGGTATCGATAATGAGATCGTATCAATGGATGCTGTTTACGGCATACGTAACAAAGTGTCGCGCGCTCGAATACGACGACACCAACCGACGTCGTCCTTTTCCCTGGAAATGTCCCCCTGCCCCCCGACTTACGAATTGACACTCCCCGAGAGATGTAGTCTTCGAGTCGCGAAATGTGTGCGGCGTTTCTCTGATCGAGCGCGTAATTAGCGAGCGATCAGTTTTTCCACGCAGACGAATGATTCATCCCGTAACTGGTTCGGTTCGCTATGTCAGCGATATCAACACGTGGCTGATATGAATTCGCTATTACTACTTCTCTTTTCTATTCGACAACACAAGCTCGTTCGCGCGTTACTCTTTATTCTCGCCTTTTCTTCGCCATCGCGCGTATTTTCCTACGATCTCTTATGATCCGCTCGCATTTATCTTCTAAACGCAAACCCTCGAAAATTATCCCCCATTTTAACGAATCGACGCTGCTGTTGTCTCGTTAACGAGGCGCTCTACAATTTGTTTACCTCGTTTGCACGACAGCATTCACGACGACGATTTCACCGACGTATGATTCCTCGACGCTTTTTTCCTCGATACGATTACCTCTGCTTGCGTCCATGTTCATTCCGTTTTTTTCTTCTTTCGAACCGCTAATTCGTAACGTCTCAATGGTTATAACCGTGGGTTATATTTCAGTTCGCTTGGTTTCTTCTCGATTCTGCTAGTTCGCGTTAGCACAGATCCTTCGTTTCAAGAAGCTCGTTCGAAAGAAAAAAAAAAGGGAGGGAAATTCTGTAAAGCTTCCTCCTTGCGCGAATCCTTTTGAATTTTTACGCCCGCGATAAAGTACGTGCCGGATGATGTTCTTTAATCCACGAGTTTTCGATCGTGAATCGAAGCGATACATTACCTTTAACGGTTCCTTTTATACACGTAGAAAATCAGGGGCGATGAATTCGACGTGTAAACAGGCCGGGCTCGAGACTCGCGCGTGTCGTAAATTCTGCCTGCTTTAGACGCTGATAACGGAGCAGAAAGTCGCTCGTTATTTCTACATTTCGCGATGATTTCTTTCGCGATCGATACTCGTGGACTTTTTTTTTTTCTTCCTTCGCGTCGCGACGACGACGACGGGTTCTCAAGTTTTCGGCGCCGAATTCTCCTCGGCCTCTATCGCACGAATAAAGAGGTTTATCTTTCTGGCAGAATCTCTGAAAACAGAGCGATCCAAAAATACGAATTATTGATCGGGCCGGTGAGCCCCAGTTGTTCTTCTAAACACGTGGTAGTTGGTGTGTGCTAAAATTATCGAATTACTCTGAAAATACCGATAAGAACACATGTCTGCTGTCGTTTCATCCGGCACGTGACTCAATTATTATTGCCGATCGACTGCTTGGTCTACTCTTGCGTTACTGTACAATTCATTGTTGCCCGGTAATACCGTTAGTCGCATGTAATTATGCGCGGCCGACAATGAGTTGGCGCCGTGTTTCTAACAATGCTGATGCCGGACGTGTTTTCTTTTTTTTTGTGCGTGTTCGCAGGGAAAAGCGGCAGAAGATCGAAGACATTAAGAAGAACATTAGGGACGCCATTTTGGTAAGTGTCCCGGCCGTCTGCGTTTATTCCGCGAGCGATTTGCGGCCATTACCAGCGCGGAGTAAAATTAAAGGCGCGTTGTATTCTTGGAGAGGAGCGAGCTCGCGGTCGAATATCGTAATTCGACGGGTCGTTTCCTTTCTTTTTGTTCTCTTCCATGGCGACGTAGTCGGGCCGACTCGTCGCATACAAATCCCGCATTTGCCTCCCGAACTTGGTTACATCGGACGTATTAAATCGTTGCGCTCGAAATAACTTGAATATAACCGTTACGTGACACGCAAATTCGTGATATCAAATCTGACTGGAAGTATATTGTCACACCGATTTGTCATTCGAGTCTCCGCCATTTAGCTGCGCCCGATTGCACGTAACCTCGCGAAACCCCAGTCACTTCCGCGGTCGCGTCGATGCGTAATGACGTGTCCGATTTCGAGCGTGCCAACGGAATTTTTGCGAAATAAACGAAACAATTAAACGCCGTCCAGTAGTAACGATAGTTGCGGAAATGATTGGCCGGCGTCGTGTATGCTGAGAGTTACACGAGCCTTAATGCGTAAGGTTGAAAATCGCAGAAGTAACTCTAGTTATAACGTTAGGGTTACAGTCTGATTACAGTAGGGAGAAGCTGTACTCACCTTGGAAACGATAGACTATGTGGTCTAAATTGACGTTAATATGATGGTAGAGCAGTATACTGAACGAAAATATTTTATTAGTTCACCCATCAGTCATGAAAAAGACAAGGGTATTATATCTAGACTATATAATTAATTAAGGTTTTATGGATCGAGTTTTTTCTCGTCTAATGATTATTTTTCACATTCCTAATGATCACACTATAAAAAAAAATTGTTTAATGGAAATCGGGAGGGGGCACAAAAAATCGGCCTTATTCGTACATCTAAAACGCTATTGTGTAATAGTAAGAATTTTTAATCTAGGGAATGGCATGGCATACATGACGCCGACTATAAAGAAGACTCCACTAATGCAGTCCAATTCTCTGGGAACATTGTGACATCAAAAATGTCCAATCAGTGGTATTATGTATCCGAATATTCGTGCATTGTGATGTTTTGTTTATTCGGGGAATCGATGCTCCAGAGCAGCAGTCACACAAATATTCAGAAATGATGCACCTGATGTCACTATGCCTAGGGAAATGGGACTGCATCGATGGAGTCTTCGATACGTTTTGACGTTACACAATCGTCGATGCGTGAATGTTACACTGATTTTTTTCCTTTAATGTTTTCTCTCTCTCTCTCTCTCAGACGATAACCAGTGCGATGAACACGTTAACGCCACCCGTCACGCTGGAGGATCCGTCGAATCAAAGCAGAGTAGACTACGTCCTGGAAGTCTCGTCTTCCCCAGACTTCGATTATCCTTCGGTGAGTCAGCTTGACTATTTGCGTTGCGCGCCGTGTATTTTCCCGCCGCATGAGAAACGAAACGGGCTTCACCTTCGCGTTCCGCGGTAACTCATCGACCTTCCCGCGCGGATAATACCGATCCGAAAGAGTCTCCATGGACGACGGCGATCGTCGTCCGACGTTGCCGAAAATACGGTTCGCTCGCCCGGCAGGAATTTCACGTCGAAACGGCCGATTTATGCACTTGACATTTCGCTCGCGCTCGTCTTAATCGTCTCGCGCGATTTTCCCGGCGAAACTGGGTCGCCTGCTGCTGCTGCTGCTCGTACATGCGCAACACGTGTCGCTTATTATAGTTCTTCGCGTTAATTTTCGCGTAATTATGCGATGCACTTTGTATGGGATATCGTCGTCGTCGCCGACGCGGGTAGTTGTTGTCCGGTATTCATTTCTAAATCGCACACTGTCTTGCGTTTGCTCTGTGCTGCACGTGTGCGAGTTCGCAAGTACACCGCGATACATCATCTTAATTATATATTGTATAATAAGGTCAGCCTCGATCATATTGACTATCAATCGCGATAAAGTTGCACGAGTATTGATCTTCTCTTCCCTCTTCCTCTTTCTCCACCAGCATCGTATCGCGCGTTAAATCGCATCCCAGAATATCCCCGGAGCAGATCTTTCGGCGATTATTCGGTACCGTTTAACGCACGGCCGAGCCGTAACGGGATGATACGTGTGTGGCGGAATTTGCTCAACGATCATCGCGCGACGACATTTCTTCGCGTCTCGTTAAACCGGCGGACGCACATCTGCGGATTAACGTAATGCGGCACGCAGACACGTAAGCGCGCGCCGGCTCTACCACGTGAGAACCACTGCGTGGTATGATCAGTGTTTACAATGTTTACACAGCCACCGCACATGTCGGTGCGCTATATAGTGTCCTGTACTACGATGTGCTGCGCCATTTCTCACGTACGTACGTGTGTACGTACATAGGAAACCTCTCTCATTGTGTCGCTCGCAAATTCGCGCGATCATTTATACTAATGTGTACTAACGGCGATTCACATCGATCCGTCCCGCGCTCTCTACAAATCAATGTAGCACTGCCCGAATCTCAGCAGTAGGGGCAGCGACAGTTCCTCAGGTCGAAAAAGTCTCATTTAGTTCCACATTTAGTGTTCAAATTGGGCACCTTTGGGGGCTACAAATACGGATGTTCTCTCCACTCGAAGACTTAATGTGGAACTAAAATTTAGACTCTGGAGGAACTAAATTCCCTTTGCTGGCATTAAAGGAGCACTTACCGTGCTTCCATTTTCTCCACTCGAAGGCTTAACGTGGAATTGAAAATTTCGACTCGCTAGTTATGATCCTTTCTCACATGAGAATACGTGTTACGATTTATCGTACATTCGTTCCATCAGGTTTTTCCACATTCGATTTTTGTCGGTGCGCCAAATAAAAGAAAATAACGTTCTCTCGAGCACGCGCGTGTTACAACATCGCCTTGAGATTCGATGCGCATGAAAGGAGAGTCGTCGTGCGGCCCGCGACAGGTATCGCGAGCGAGTCGAAAGGAAGCGCGAAACGGATTCGAAATGCGACGCGGCTCTCGAAATAAAGTCGTCGCGACGAAATAATCCGCGCGTTTTGCGTCATTCACCGCGCCGGCGAGAGAGAAGCGACACGCTGCCCGCGTATACGGTGTGTGTACCTTTTTACCAGCGAATGCGCCCATTATTCGTTGCACGTGGCGTTATTCGCCGTCGACGATGAGATGCGCATTCGGATTAATCGAATTAAATTGTTTCGCAGCGAGCGATCGCGCGTCAACGGCGTCGCGGTTCCCTCTCGTCGCGACTCGCGATTATCCGCGGAACAAAAAGGATTTTACGCAGCGTCTTCCACCAATTACTTCGCGGACGTTTTAATACGACGGTGACAAACTGAGAAACTGACTGTTTTCGCGCTACGACGATCTAATCCGCTTCTCTCATTGCCTCGAGAAAATTCGAGTCGAGGGTAAACGAAGGCTAGATTAATTTTCTCTCTCTCTCTCTCTCTCTCCCACTCTCGGTGTTCCCGTTAAAAAGTGAATCGCATCACTCCGTCGCACCGAATACCTTTTAATTATGTCGTAGGCTCATTTCGTGCGGAGAAATTAACACGAACGATGCATCATACCTCGGCTGTGCTGTTTATGTCGTGTCGTTTATAAAAAAAGGTTTTTTATTTGTTGCGAATGTTGTACTTGGCATATCAACGGTGCTATTTTCGCGATCGGGAGACAAAGCAATATCTAGAGTGCTCCTCGCGAATTCTGCCGGCACCTTCCACGATTCGCGTTTAATTTGTCACTGTCATCCTCGGTTCTTCGCATATGTGAGAAAGGATAGGAGGGAGGCAAGCGAGAGTGTTTTCTCGTCGTCTCGATGCGGAAGTTTATTTTAGATAATCCTAGGCTTAATTTCAGTACAGGCTCGAAACACACCGGCGCACGCCGATATACGCGGTTTCTTGCTCGGAACGACAATTACAGTCAGCGCGTATTGGCTGTGGCTGCAGGCAGTCGATGATGCGAAAACAATTACGTAATTGAGGGAGGAGAATTACGGGATCGAGGAGCATTCGGAACGTCGAATAATTCACTCTGGGATACTTTTTTCCCCTCCCTCCTCCTAACACTAAATCGAATCGGCGTTGCAACTGCACGATTATTATTATTACGGAGGGGACCCTCCATAATGTAACGAGAAAATTCCCGGGCGCGGAGAACGCGACGTGTGTTCCAACGATTTGCATTAAACTCTTAAAAGTCGAGGAGCTCTCCTGGCCGGATTCGCCGTCCGTTGTATTTATATTTTTAGCCGAGTTTACACGTTTTGCCACCGGCGGTTTGGGGTTAGCGGTGAGATGACGCGTTTGGACGAAATTATTAGTACGTGCATAATCGCGGTAATGGGCGGCGCGGGTAAGGGCGATCCGTGCGACGGCGTGGACCTTCGCGCGCGCGGAGACATATCGACGATGCCATCGATCGTGGGAGCGTGGAAATAGCATCGACAAGAGAATTTATTAATATAACCGTCGTTATTGCCAAGCACACCCGAGCGGCCGCCCACACGATTCGTGGCGCGCGACAACTTTCGGGATGGACTTCCGCTGTGTCGACGCGACGAAAGGAACAAGCGGGCTACAGCACTTGCCAATTTGCGGCTTGCGACGGGTCTATGGGAGAATCGCCTCGGATTACCGCCGTCACGTAAAGAGTATATCCGATGCTGACCGTTCGTTTGTAACGAGTTTGCGAAAACCTTCGGGCGATAATTAACCCGCATCGGAATCTCCCCAGCATAGATTCCAATTAGAATAGCCGAAAAGTTGTCCCAAAATAGATTATCCGACAGCGATATGCCAATTGGAAGAATCCCACTCTTATTCGAAATATGTATTTTCTGTTTCTTGGGGCGGCTAAGTAGAAAATCTGTTTGTATTTCCCATTTAGAATCGCACGTTTCAAACTTCTAGACCCAGAATCCACGATTACTTTGGGAAATCTAGATTGGATCCCAATTAAATCCCAAGGAATTTTCTATGCGGGAATCTCCCCTTTTTCCTACGCTTCGTCAACGCGAAAGAGTAATTTTAAGCCGGTTTCTCAGCGAGACCATTTTTTCGCGTATTATTGGTAATTTGTCCTGAAAATTACGGAGGACAGTCTCGCGCGTCGATTACTAATTATTAGCTTCGGGAGATTCTCGCCGCGAGGATAAATTGTATTACGTATGCGAGAGGTGTGTGCCGCCCGCGCGGAGTGATACACCGAATGTACCGAAGCGCTGTTTCGCAATTCGCACACGTTTGTACATGTTGCCAAGAATATCATCGTGCGATAGAACGTTGCAGGTGCGAGGCTCAAATAATTAATAATACTTTGCGCGCACGCGCTCGCTCGCGTTCCGACGTTGATTTATGCGCGCGGCCGGGCATGCCTGCTGCACCACGATTACTCGGCGAGTTTTAATTCGCGCCGTTTACGAGAACACGTCATTGATCACGACGAATCCTTAACTCCGACGGTACCGTTAATGCGATGTTCACAGGCGATCTATTCGCGTCCGTTAATTCCGGCATTAATGCGCACTCTTCTGTATCTTTCAGACCTCCGCGAGAGGCCTCGATTATACGCACAGCTTAAATTACACCGGAATCGAACTATTTTGCACGCATACACGGATGAAAAGTATATACACGGACAACAGAAGCGACTGACTCGTCTCGGCTTATTTTCAGCAAAATCGCAGTATCGGAGATTAACGTTCGGCATTCGATGGCGAGCGCAACGTCGTCGTAGTAATCTTAATCGGAATGAGAATCGTTGTTTCGTCTCTCTCTCTCTCTCTCTCATACACACACACACATAATTTTCGAAACTGCCGGCGGGCTGTCATGGGTAAAACGTTTTCAAAGCGGCCGGAGCGCGTTCAACTTCTTGCAAAAGTCGCCCACGCATATGAGGAAAGCACGTTTCCCGACAATAACATCTAAATTATTAATGCGCCCGACATCCTTTGCCAGTAACGCGAAGCGCGTGTCCCCTTGCCCCCCGCGCCGTTATTTACGTAACATTCAAATCGCAGCTTTACCTTACCTCCGCGTCTAACAAAAGTGTCCCTCCGCAAAGTCCACGACAATGCACCTATGCGACGGACAATAGTAGACTACTGCATTTAAATTCTATTGCATTGTGTTTCGAGAGGAGGGAAGCGAAGGCGTACTTTAAAAATATAAACGGTTAGAGAAATCCCTGAACTTCGATACATCTCGAGAGAGGAGGCAAGCGAAACGTTAGTCCTATGTTAAACCTTTTATTCTATAATATCAATAATACATCCTATGTTAAACCTTTTATTCTATAATATCAATAATAGGAGTTAAGATAGAAAAATATGTTCTAATAACTTCTACTTTAGTGATATCTTAAATTTCCGTTTTCGTCGTTTTAGCGTCAAAATAGATTGTTTCAAGGTGGCATTAAAATTAAATCTGTAAAATCTATAAAGCTTCATGTGCTGATTGTAATACTTTCCCGATAAATTAAAATTAAAGAAAAATCAGATTCAGTAGGTGAAAAACTATAAAAAGATATACAGCTTTTATTTGCCACTCTGAGGGCCAAAATCTGGCCATTTTAACAATCGTCCTTTCGACGGATAATTCGAAAACGTCGCGCAGCGAAAACATGTGTTTGTCAGTACCGCGGGGTCCTCAGGTGGTAAACATTCGAATAAGACTCGAGATGTTTTTCTTGAAACACCGTTCTTGGTCTCCCTTTTTTTCCTCTCTTTATACTCGCGAAGTCGCGAGGCGAAAGAATAAGAGAGAAAGAAAATTCGCGATGATCCGTGCGCGGAATTCGTTACGCATTCCTCGCGCGTTCTATGCGCGCGGCAAACATCCACGCGCTTCAAACGGCGTATTTTTCAGCGGCGAGCTAACGACGAATTAAACGTCAAACGTTACTACGGTTCGGCGATCCCGGTGTGCAATAAAGACGGCGATAAATGTACTATAAATATACGCGAATAGGTCGTATCGCGCGGCCAGTACGACTTGCAGGTCTTTACATTGTGTACGGCAGCCCGTGCGTTTGCGGTTGCTCACCCGTCGCATTCCCACCTACCTACGCGGAATTCCGAAACTTGAGATTTACGGCGGTCTTATCATCGGCCCGATCCACAAACCTTGAAACATCGGCTCGCGTAATGCCTCACTGCGCGCTGCTTTTCTCCCGGCATTCTCCGGAGTGCCAAAAAAGCAAGCCGCGCCTGTGATTTTAGATCAATCTCAAGCTAGAAAGCTAATAAAATTATACCGCACGGAAACCAGTTCGTTTCTCACATATGTAATATGAATCTGTATATTTAATAAATCCGAATTTTTTATCTCAAAGAACATCCCGCACCAACAAAATCAACAGAATTGGAAATTTTGGTGGAAATTCGCGAAGACACTGATCAATCTAATCACCAGACCGGTCGGTTCTTCTGCTTTCAGGAATTCTACGAGATCGTCGAAAATCTCTGGAAAGACCGGGGCGTCCAGCAAAGCTTTGAGAGGAGTAACGAGTACCAACTCATTGACTGCGCCAAATAGTGAGTGACTTTACTTCTAATATTCTGCACACAGCTTGCCTGCCGAGAGCTCTCGATGCGTTTCGCCGTTCAAACGGCGCGATCGGCGGTTACTCTCGATGAACCACGTTCATTGTGCCGCATTTAGCCCGCGTTCGCGTAACATTGACATTCAAGTGCACATTAGTTTGCAAGAAGCGCGTTCTGACGTACGAGTAGCATGATTTCACGAAATCGATCGAGCCTCAGTTCGTTCGGTTTGATTGCTGGATCCCTCCCGTAGAGTACCACCGAGGCACCAGTTGTTGTAATCTGCTCCGTGGTGATATCACGATCGTGATAAGAAATCCGTAAGATAACGTTTACGCGTCGATAACACCACCACCTCGCGGATCTGTCGACGTTGTGCCGTTCTCGCGATGTCCTTTCCCGAACGAATCACATTTAACAAACGCTGTGTGCGACCTTCCGTTTTACCGCCGTCGATTTTAGCCCCTACGCGCAATGCGATGTGTCGAATCGTGTCGAAATGGAGATGAGGTTTTATTAGAGGAGGACATTTTTTATGAAAATATAAATTTGACTAAAGAAGAATTCCCATCAATATTCCGTTTCATAATTTCCTAACAAAAAAAAATGCCTCTCTCGTGAACCATTCGTTCTCACGGTGTGGGACGGTGTGTTGTTTCGAGAAAACGTTTCCGCGTGCGAAGTACACGTATGTACATATATACATGTGCGTGTACATATTCATAGGCTTGTGACACCGATTTAATGCCAATGGAGACAATGCTTTAACGAGGTAATCACTTTAATAGGGGCCACTCGTTTATTCAGGGGTTCTGGACGAATTGGGTTGGGACGAATTGACCCAATCTCGAGCTTTTTCGTACGCTAATTCGATGATACAAGCGTTGATTTAGTTATGTAAGGCGGGCTCGTCGTAAATACCTATAGGTGTGTTTCGGCGAACGGGGACCAAACGGGCCGAATCCGCTGACTGCGATAACTGCCATTCTCTCTCGATGCGCGAGGGTTATTGCACCAGATCGCGTTTTATACGTGGAAATCAAAGTCTCCGGCGTAAACGACGGCCTTATCCGTTCAGCCAACAACCGGCATGTGAGTCCATTTCGCACCTACATGCTCGTCAAACACTTTAATTAGACGGTACAGAAGCTCGCGACCTTCTATGCAGTCGCAGTATCGCTATAAGCGCATTTGTGTACGGACAAGAGACCGATGAATTTATCAAATCATTTCGACGATTCAAGTCTCTACGCAGTTGGTGGTCGCGACTTACTCGAGTCATTCCGAAAAACTCGACGAAACGGTATTTGATTCAGATCATCCTTGAATAATACAATGTAAAGGTACATCAATATTTCGTAAACGGGGCGCACGCTTGTATTTTTTCCGTCGAATGAAATTTTTTTACCTGAACTTTGGTATTAATTACATGACTAAATTCGTCCAGTTTGCGAGAAACGCTCTTTCTCTCTCTGTTTCTATTTTTCTTTCTTGCTCTCGTCAATGTTTCGTGCTGCTCGTAATCACATTATCGCAGTTTTCTTGCGTTCTCTCTCTTTCACCCCCTCCGGTACCGCGGTGCGATTTCCGTCCTCTCGTGTGCAACGAGAATCGTTGCCGTTAAAAATAGCGCGTCGTATTTTTAGGCAGCGCTCCGGCGGTGAGATATAGCGCTCGGCATATTCGTAGACGAGGGAGACGCAAGATGGTTATAATCTTGCGGTCGCATGTATCGGCCGCATTTCTGCGACTGCGCCTGTTCCCACTCTCGCTCTTTCTGCCATGCAAAAATACATTCGCGAACATAGTGTTCCGTACGCGGGAGAGACGAGCACGCGAATTTTATTATACCTCCCCGCGCTTCGCGAATCTGCATACTATTTTAGACTACCAGCTGTAATAAAAAAAAGTCATCTCATCTTTTCCTCGCAAATCTTTCCTCGGGGAAAAATCCGATAGGACGCCGTCTCTTCATTTTCTACGTTGTCCCGTTCGATTTATCTCCTATTTGATATTGTTAAATGATGAATGCAAGTTTTGCCCGAGTCTCGATTAATAGCGCAATAACTCGTATCGATTGCAAGTACACGGTTTTGTTATTCCCTCGTGTGTCTCTGGGGCTTGATTCGACGAAAAATTTTGGCTTTTTCATCGCTCGCATCGCGATGCAACATTTGATGCAACCGGATGAAACCCGTGGTTCATGGACGGGTGTGCGATTTCTGGAACGCGCGCTCCCAAAAGCGTCCCGAAAAAGCCGTCGCCACGAAAGAAGTGAGCACGCGTGACATGGTAGAAGTATGACTTGCTTACGCGCACTAAATACGGCGCAAACGGTATATACTACCTAAAATATCTCGAATCTGAGTCAGTGTGTAGAGAATAAATATTTGTCCGGCGCGATTGCTGCATAACAACGCGCGATTATCGATTGTTGGTTCAGCGGGAGTCATTTCCGGGTTGGACGATCTTCGCGTCGAGCGAAATAAAGAACCGACGGCGCGCGCAATTACGCTGTCGTTATAATTGGAAGAAAAATGTAATATCGCGCGCCGCGAGTGTCCCGTGCCGGCGTTGCCTCGTATTAATCGCGCCTCCTCTCGTTTGTAGTAATAATGCGACGTTTCAATTAACACGATAAAGCAGCGCGCGACGCGTTTTAAAAAAGGAAACTCGCGCCGCTATATTTAGACCATCGGTCCATATTGCGTGGATTATTGATGCTGCTACTATACACAGCCTGTAAATGTTTGGATAGATAGCCGCTCTCTCTTTCTTTCTTTCGCGCCTTTTTCGCCGTCGGCACGTTGTGTCGACGATAAGTTTTTTTTAACTTATCTCTCGAATATACACTTTCAACGTGGAATTGCCTAATGAGCGCGTATCTCCCGAACATGACCGAATTTGTATAGCCAGTTGAATCAAATTTGAATTAAATTTTCTTCGTAATTTATTGAAATGATTACTTTCGCAATATAGTTGTAAAGGTTCGCGATTTTTCGCGGTACAAAGAATCTTGTAGCGTATTAGTCGGTTTCGGAAATCTCTCTTCTGTAAAGTTGCTTTTACGACACATACACACACGTACCCCTTTTGCCGTGATTGGTCGAATCGTTCAAAGGAACCGATGCTAAAGTAACGGTGAAAGCTTCGATCCGGCCTCACGATACGAATTTGAGGAAGAAGGAGGAGGAAAAACGCGAGATTTAGCGATACCAGACGTCAACATAATCGAACTGGTTTGGTGTCGGTTAAGAGAAGTTCGCGCCGACCGAAGTGCGGAAGACAAAGAGGATGTTTAATGTTGAGCCGCCGCATGTCGGCGACGTTAGGTTGAGCGCGACTGGAACCGCCAGGTTCGTCAAATATTTGCAATCGGAGCGTCGAATGGTCGGGCGTCAAAGCTCCAATTTGTAACAGTGGGAGAGGAGATCGCCATCGGGACTCCCGCGTGTGATCGAGTCGAATCGGGTCGTATCGAGGCGACCTTAAAACCCGCCGAAATGTAACGAGCGCGATTCGGAGCTCGGCTAACTGCTTATCCCTTTAAATCCCCGCAGCCCCAAAATGTCGGGGGTGAGCTTTTGAAGTTACCTCTGGCCGAGCAGGGCATTCCTCGATGCCAAACATACTCGTGAATATCTCGTTGCGAAAATTGCAAGATATCGCCAATACATCCTCCCCTCACAAAGAAAAGGAAAGATTATGACTATAGTTTTAAGGTTTCGAAGAAAACCCGTTTATTTTATTTATCCGAAATTATACTAACTCAAAAACTATAATTTCGATTAAAGATTTTGTTATTATTTCCTCTGTAAACTCGCTTCGGAAAACGGTATTCGCGTTGAATGAAAGATTATTCGTTGCAGGAATGATGTTACAGTCGAAATATCGACGACGACGTGGGGGATGCGTTATGCAGCGGAGGAAACTGCGGCCAGAATTTTCTCGTCAGTCACGCGTCGATTTTTAGCTCGATCTCATACAGTCCGGCTCTCTGCCGTGACTCGGAAATTTCGTTGCAACATTATCGATTCGGGTGAACAGCAGCGCACGCCTTACATCGTACGAATGGTGCGATGGATTCGTGCCGCGCGCGGTTTGATGCATAAGCCGCATACTGATTATACCGTCGGCCCTACATCTACGTGTCGATATAGTTCTAGTAGTTAAACCGTTACCCGCTTTCTCGATTTTGATGCGAGACACCCAATGTCGAAGTTTAAGAAGTGGTCGAGCAGAGAAAGGGGGCCAGTCGTCGTCGTTCGCTCCAAGGAAAAATCCCCTCGAAATTGTCTCGGTCGGTCGTTCCCTGTGTATATCGGCTCCTTAGATTAACACTTCGTGTGTAAGCGCACACACATACACGTGGTGTTATATACGGTGCTCAATAACGCGGCCGGCTTAACACAGGGGGCTTCGTTGCCAACGACATCAAACGCGCCTCTCGACTGGCGGGCGTCCGAGTCCAGTCGATATACGTTATTATCGCGCACGATCCCGGCTTTCATCGTTTCCCGCTTTGTCGACGCGAATTAATTCTTCGCGAACGTTTAACCTTTAACCTGGGGAAACGTTGAAAAATCCGACGCGGCGCGTTAGTCGATCATCGAGAGAAAGAGAGAACGTACGTCGTGTTCTCTCGCGGCGCAGCGACAAAATTCGACGAGCGCGGGAACCTGACAGGGAATAATTAAATGAATACGACGGAAATGTAAAAGGTTCAGCCTTCTAAAATTCCGTTTACCAGTTTTGTTAAAATGACGTATTCATATATATGTATGTGCCTGCACAACTACGCTTCAAAGCGGATCCGAAGCGATTCCCCGACAGTTCACATTTCGACGAGTGTCGTCGCTTTTCCTTTTCGCATCCTCCCCAACAAGCTTTGTATCGCTTCGGCGATTATTAAGGCTGTCGATACTTTTATAGGAAGATGAAGTAATAGAATAACATAGAAGCGGCCGGATAAGATGTCGACAAATGGTTGATAACATTGGAATATGTGTATTCTCGATTAAAGAGAACGAATAGCGCGCGTCCTCGGTTATATCGTGTGAAAATTCGAGAGGGTGCGCGTGCAAATTTCAGATTCGATTCTCGGATTAATGACAGCGAATCGCTCGGCTGTGTCCCTTCGTGGCACGAGGGAAAGCGATCGTTCGCTCGTTAAACGAACGTTTCGGAATACCTGCATCGTCGCGAGGGATCGAAATGAATTTTTCGCCGCGACATTATTATACGGTTTAAGGTTCGAACAATCGCTGTCGGGCACAACGTTTGCTCACCTCAAGGTCTCGGCGGAGGGTTAACACGGCACGATAACGAGAAAATCGTTCTGCAGCAGCCAGTGGGTCACGACCTCCTTCCTCTTTCAATTCTCTGGAGGTCGATAACCTCATTTCTCGTCGGAGCGCGCCAATTCTATGACCTACCTTCTCGCACGAGCCTATACCCGCACGCTCGCACACATGTACACTCATAACATATACATGCGAGTTCTTTTTTTTTTTTAATATCGCTATTGAAAATCAACGCGCCTCCGCTTCTTCCGACTTGTAAACACACAAGTTGTACGACTGACATTTCGTAGCCTGAGAATGATGTAGTTTATAATAACAAGAATTTCGCAAACACAGCGGTATAACTTCAAGTTCTATCATTATATTTAATCGCTCGTCATAAAGTCAGAGGTAACTGCTCTGGCAGCTTCGCTCCTGCCTGCAACGCGATAAATAACGGCGCAACAATTTCTATCAGACATATGCATCTCGAAGGTCGAGCGGATGTTCGTTAGACGTGAGGAATACGTGCGCGATATCCGCCGGACTTTGCTCATCAGCGGGAGACGTCTCTCTTACGGCGGGATTTACTCGACACCAGCGATACACGCACAATCACCCTTAATTATATCTCATAAAAAGACGTTTTTCAGCCTTTCGCGATAATAGCGCACGCGGTGTTAAACCCTTGCGTACGATTGACGGCGAGCAGAGAGCGGTGGCAGTGACCCATGACCCGGATCGGAAAGTGGGTGCCAGAGGGGCGTGTATGCACACCCGGCGAGGCCGAGGGTTGGAGTTAGGGTAGGACACCACCGAGAATCGATTTTCTCTCTTGGGCTCTCTCTCTCTCTCTCTCCGCCCTCAGCGCGCAGGAAGGGAGGGCGGATCGAAGGGAGAGAGGGTCCTGGCACAGAGAGAAGAGCGAGCGAGCGAGCGAGCGAGTGAATGAGTGTGAGGAAGGCAAAGAGCGCTGACTGTATGTGTGTGTGTGGTGTGTACGGTTGTGCGCGCTCGCGCGTGCAGATGTCGCGTGTTTGTGTCTGTCGCGAGCGCACGGGAGAAAGAGAGTGTTCTCTCCGGAAGGGTGATAGAGGTAGCGATGTTAAAGAGAGAGAGAGAGAGAGGGAGGGAGGGAGAGCAAACAGGAGCAGCAGGACGCGAAATGGTGGGAGAGGGAAAGAGAGGGAGAACGGGGAACGAGAGAGAGAAAGGGCGCGTGAGAGGAAGCTCCCCCTCGATATTCCACCCTTTTTCAGCGTCCGCTTCCGTCGCGTGTGCGCGCTGTCGTCGGCGCGCTTCCTCTAGGATTCTGGCGGCATCCTTCGTCCCGGTCTGAGACTCCTCTCGCCCCTGGTGGAGAAAGGAGTGAGGAGAGCGACCGGCTCAACCCCGGCCGACCTAGGAACGTGGTTCGATCGAAAGAGGAAAGTTGACACTGTGTGTCGGAGGGCTCCGACCGCTTCTGATAACGTTATTGGCCTGTATTCTGGCGGCGCATCTAAGCGCTAAAAGCGGCCACCTGATTCTACGCTGAGCGTTTCAAGGAAAAACAAAGACGTGCGTTTCTTCCCCCTCTTCTTTCTTCTTCATTTGCATTTTCTTTTTTTTTTTCTTTCTTCTTTCCTTACATCGCGAGAAAGCCTACGCTCGCGTTCGAGTTACGCCGCTGGTCGATAAATACGCGACGAAGGTAATTCGGTGATTTTGTAACAGCTGGTACACACACGACGAGATATACAATCGTAGCGGTACGCTATCACAATCCGGACACGAAATCGATGCAAATGTGATAATACGGTTTATTATTATCCCTGCGGTTCTATTCCAGCGCGCTGGAGAGATACCTGTGTAATGTGATGATGCAGTCGATATAGCATATAACACGGCGAGGTACAACCGATATAATTATACGATATGATGAATATCATATCGCGAGCAATAGTCGTGAAAGATCCGAGCAGATATAATAACACGGTTTATTATTATCACGCAATCCTGTACACGGGGGAAATGTGCGTGTGTGTGTGTGTGTGTATGCGTGCGTGCAATATGATACAGTCGATATAAAACACGGAGGCTGATATAAGTATACAATGTAACGTTATCGTGGAGAATAATCACGAAACTATGACTATAATATGATTTATCGTCACGTAATAATATGGTTTGCCGCGTCCCCTCGGAACGGACGAGCTCCTGCCGCCTCCGAGGACTCGTTTTTAATGGAACGGAAGTCTCGTCGCTTCGGATTATTCTTCTGAATGAAACGATAATTGTCAAAGACAACAAGACCGGCGGAGAGTACGCTTTGCGTGCGTTTTAAACACGCTTCTCTCGGAGAGAGCGACCCTCGCGCTGTTATATGCCTCTCTACGGCGCGCCGCCTAAAAAGTCCTGCCCAAATGAACTTCGCAGTTGACGTTCGAGAAGGCCTAAAAGAACACACGCAAAAATTTCCCCATTAGGAATGTTTGATTATGCAGCTGACGAGCGTTCTTCTCTCTTTTTCGGTTTCAAATACTCACAACTCATACGTTGCGCCAAGATTTGATACGTAGGGATATGCTATTATATATATATATATATAAAAGATCGACACTTTTATTTCTCTTGCGACGTCTTCTCTTTATCAATCTCGAAGATACACAGAGAGAACAAATTCGGGAGATCTGAGGATCGTCGTGCATGTAGAACTAAAGCATATGTAAAACGACATCATAGGCATGCTTCGTGTACTTTGCAAGATAAACACGCGAATCGATAATATATTCGCGATGAAAAATTCCACGACAACGACGTCTGCGTTACTTTACGCTGCTATATTTTCTGTTCGATACCTTTCCTCTCGTCCCAAACGCCTCGATTTTTGTTCTCGATCTCGAAAGCGACGTTAACGTAAATTCCGCATCGCGTCTCGAATCTCCGTGAGATTCAAATCGAAACGGAACGTCTTTACGGACGGATTTTTACGGCCGGTGAAAATTTATATATCGTTTCATCCGCGTGAATGCAAAGCCCCGAGTCGCGATTATTTGTGTTCGAAAACGCGCGGGCTCGACTAGCGCCGAAAATTTGATTCACATCCACATCACACAAAAGAGACACGTTTCGACCACATACGGACGTGTGGAGTGGCTCTCGCGATAACGATGTGGTTGATTGACGATGATTGTTATCGCGGATGCCCCGCATCGATCGAGGCTAGTTCAACTTGATTTTGACGAATTCGCCTCGTTATGTTGTCGAATGCACACGGATATTCGAATACACTTTCCGGATCTTTTCTTCTCTCGCGACGCGGCTCGAATTAGCGTTCGCGAACTGAGAAATTGATAAAAGTATCAGCGGGATATGCTTTGCGAAATTAGCAGCATCCTTGGAAAATGACGATAAAGTTTCCTGACGATTCCTCTTCTCGGATATATGTTCGTTCAGTTCACTCGGTAAAACACGCACCGAAATATCTCTTTTCGTTCCTTCATTCGACACGCATAACGTCTGAAATCATCGGTGGATATCTTGAATATCGCGTAATTATCGGAAAAGAAAAATGTTGGAATAAACGCGCATGATACGTTTTTACTGGTGCGCGCCGTCGACTCGGGAGATAATTCGCGCGCGCAAATATTATGAGAGGGAGAATCGTCGGGAAAAATCTCGCCGAGCGTAAGCCGTTTTTGCCCAGGTGATCGCCGCTAATCCCCTCTGTCTTTTTCTTCTGTTTCAGTTTTCTAGATAAGGTAGCCATCGTAAAACAGCCGGATTATACGCCCACGGAACAGGTGATTATATTATTTGTTCCTTTCATTGAGTCCGATGCCGTTATAACTCCCGGCCGCGATCGGATTTCACCGCGCGGTAGAGACGCGCGAAAACGGAGCGTCCTCTACTACGTTTACCTGAGAACGGCTCGAATCACCATGTATGTGTGTGTAACGTGCTGTATTTTTGTTTCAGGATATCCTGAGGTGTCGAGTCCTCACGTCCGGCATTTTTGAGACGCGGTTTCAGGTCGACAAAGTCAACTTTCAGTAAGTCCTACGCGCGCACACCGCGACTCGCGCTTAACTCCAATGTCGTGCGGCTCTATATATAGCCGCAGTATTACAGTAACATCGGCCGACGGTAAATATAAACGCGAAGCGGCGGCGCGCATCTTAGCCGCCTGCCTATATGTTGTTACACGCCTGCCGGCGACTTACACTGTATAACGTGTTAGTTGAAATCCGTTAGCCGCGTTAACGCCTCCGCAACTTTATAACATTTTCCCCTCTTTGCGTTCACTCGCAGGTCACGTACGTGGCGCGCGCGCTCCACATTATTTTCTATAGGCCCAACTCTTTGTCGCCGCCTCTGTGTGGCGCCGGCGTAATTTGATATTCGCGTAGAGAGAGAGAGAGAGAGAGAGAGAGATCTTAGTCGCGTAAAGATGTACCAACTCGAGAAAGCCGCGCGTCGAAGAATTCGGCAAGATGTCGGCTCGATGTTTCTCATCAAGCACAATCTCCGTCTTCTTTTTGCAGTATGTTCGACGTCGGCGGTCAGCGCGACGAGAGGAGAAAATGGATACAGTGCTTTAACGACGTTACGGCAATTATATTTGTCACGGCGTGTAGTAGTTACAATATGGTACTCAGGGAAGACCCTACCAAGCTGAGACTCCGGGAGAGTCTCGATCTCTTCAAAAGTATTTGGAACAATCGGTACGTCCGCCATTGTGTGATCTCTGTTTCACCTATTAACACCTGTTTGGCGCGTCGTGCATCAAATTGTTGACCGGAATGCAAAATTCGGATCCTACAGTCCTTAAATTATCCTGCACACACACACATGTAAACGTATATCTGTAGATGTTAAGTAGGGGCATATGAAAAAAAAAAAAATAGCGGGTCTCAGAACTAGTGTGCCAAATTAAGCAGCAAAAAATAAATGTTCCAACGAGGGCTTAAAAATTCTTCGCCAACGTCCAGAGAAATCGATGCGTACCGCGATTCACGATCGCGTCACTCACGGCGTTACCGCTCTTCTCCTACAGGTGGCTCCGCACGATTTCTGTGATCCTGTTTCTGAACAAGCAAGATCTGTTGGCGGAAAAAGTCAAGGCGGGCAAGCATAAATTGGAAGATTACTTTCCGGAATTCGCGCGTTACCAGACACCGGTGGAGCCCGGGGTCGTCGCAGATCCCACGGAACCTCCTGATGTCATACGGGCCAAGTACTTCATCAGAGACGAATTTCTCGTAAGTACACAGGCGCGTCGATCCACACGTTTGATCATACGGTGTCCGAGTCGAAGTATTGGCCCTTTACCTTCTACAACACAGCAGGAACCGAAATAGCAAAATAGGCTCAATTCTAATGGCTAAATAATTTACAAGTAGGCGCTCGCTCACTCCTTCTTTTCTCTTCGCAGCGTATAAGTACGGCGAGCGGTGATGGCAAGCACTACTGTTACCCACACTTCACGTGCGCCGTCGACACGGAGAACATCAAGAGAGTGTTCAACGATTGCCGGGACATCATTCAGCGGATGCACCTGCGCCAATATGAGCTCTTGTGACTTCGTTCCTGCCGACGTGTCCTGTCATCCGTTTACCTGACCGTCACGCTCGTGCTGCACTTGGAGCCACTGCGAGCCGAATGAGCCAGCCGTTACTGTGAAGAAGAAGAAGAAAAGGAAGAAAAAGAAGAAGAAGATAATCGCGACGACTGGCGAGTCCGCGCGAGGGCGTCGTACGAAGGTAGCGCGCGCGCGATGGGCTCCTTCTTCGCCCCGAAAATCCGGAGCAGCCAGCCGGTGTGACACAGCCAGAGGAGCCACGAGCCGCGTCCAAGGCGGACAGCGGTAACTGCGGATCGATCTCTCCTCGACGGCGTGGATCGACAGGAGGATCGCGATCGTTGGACGGAAACGGCCCCCTCCCGGCCGTATTCTCGATCGCTCGACTCTCCTTTGAGTTCTAGATGAAAGAGTGTGCTGAACGCGTTCCCCGAGCATATATCGACGGGAACGGGGCAACTCTCTCTCTCTCTCTCTCTTTCTCTCTTTCTCTCTTTCTCTCCCTCTCTCTCTCTCTCTCTCTCGTCGTGTCTCGGTCGTTGTGTGTGGGAGGGACGAGGTGTCGCTTGTCGATTCATTTTGATTAATTCCTGTCGCGCGAATCCCGTCGACGTAATCACTGTCGCGAATACACAACGCACCCGCGAGGTGGGCTCGAGTAACGACATCACCGTTCAACACACTCTTGACGTGAATTATTATTGTTCAGCTTTAGCGTTAAGGATGTTTCCTAAGACATAGACAAACCTCTCCGGTAGAGAAGAAGAAGAAAACACACACACACACACACACACACACGAGAAGAAAAACTTTTATCATTTGACCCTCCCCCCCTCGTACTCGTTTTCGAATCTCTACTTTTGCCTTGCTCCTTCTTACTTATCTCGCTTAGAATCTCTCCACGTCTCTTCTTTTCCCAGTTTTCCTTTCGTTCGACAAAACCGTTGATTTCTCGACTTCCGAATCTCGATTCTTTCTTACATTGACCCGACCCGTAGAAATCTCAGCCACGCCCTTTTTACGAGAAGAGTATTTTGTGAGATTTTACAGTATTTCGAAGAGCGTTTTAATTATATAACTATGTATGGAGTATGTACAGGGTGACCGTCCACGGATTCTCATGTTTTTACGTACATTTCTTACGATCGAGGTCTCTCACGGATATGGATTTCCCTTCTTTTTTTACCAATATATGTATATATATTTATATATACATATGTATGTGCGTATATATATATATATATATATATGTATGTGCGTATATATATATATATATATATATATATATATATATATATATATA